ATTATGTCTTTCATCCGTCCTTTGCTTTGATGAGTGCAAAAACTGTACAAACATTACAACAGCAACAATTTGCATTTATATAGTGCCCTTCATGCCGGACGGCATCTCGGAGTGACATTAATGCTTGTCACCTCTTCAAGAGCTTAGGGCTTTCTGTTTTTACATGGGGAAGATTATTTTTGTGACTGTGGAAATCAGCCATGACACTTTCAAGCTCTTTCGAAAGAGGCCAAGGTTACAATGAGATATGCTGAGCTCTGGTTTCTTCATGTTTACATGTCTCATGCCTAGTTTACTGCCTCAGTTCCACTGTCCATCAACACCTCTGTTCTCTCTGTGCGCTGTGGAAAAAAAGGATTGAGTGATCTTTTATAGGGTTGCATTTTTTCACAAATAGAAACAAGCCAGCTGAAGCCTTTTTTAATCAGCCAAATACTTTATATAAATATGCTGCATAAACTTTTTTTATCTCTGTTTTGCACAGGGGAAACAGTTCAGTCTCTCTTAAAGGGACAGGCGACCATCCTAGTGAGTGTGAAATGCATGTTTTTATTTTAATTTTCACACTATTCTTTAAAAAGCCTGAGGGTTTTTACAAACAAACTGCATTTTCCTTCATTCTGATTTCAGACATATGGTTAAGATTGTGTCCACTGTTCTGGCATTATCCTACCAATGCATTTATATGCATGCATGCTGATTTCATCTGCTATTTTTACCAAAACTACTGTTCAGATCTTCAAGTCCATGCAACGGAACTCCTGTTTATGTCTTTGCTAGCACAGACAAAAGCACAACATAAACAAGTTGCTTCCCCTACAGGGAAGGAAGAAAAATCTTAAGAAATGAATCACCCTAATCCAAGCTACCTCCTTGTGGTCAGTTTACAAAAGAAAATAGGGAGAGGCTGAGCCCATAGGTTCTCAAGGCAAACCTACAAGGTAACAAGAAAAATGAATATTGGTCCAGAGGAGACAGGAATGTAGTGAGAAAACATTGTTATTGTTGTTCTGCCTCTCATTTTTGCACAAGCACTTGGGCCTGATGTGCACTTTTCTTCCACTGCTAATCTCAAAGTAGCTGAAAACAACACATCAAAGACTCCACTGCTTCTGCATAGCCAAGCATTAAAAATAAATACGAGGGGTGGAGGGATGCAATTGTTATTCAAAAATTAAACCATTTTCATTACATTGCTTTTCATTGACAATACCTTTCTGTACAAATATAGTGGAAAATGTACCCCATATATATTTTAACATACTCTCAGTCCACATTTGTAAGATAATAATTGAAACAAAACATGAACAAATGTTATATTTCTTTATTGGCCAGACATTCTGCAAAGTGTACAGGCTTGTGGGATTCTATCCAAGCCTTGTCAGCTAAGGACTCAAAAAGTTTGATCAAAGGATAATAGGCAGATTTTCAAATGAGTTGTGAATCCACAAAAGAAGTTCCAACTTTTTCTTTTCTTGCAACTTGCCTTGTGGAGTTTGTGGAGAATGTAACATATTTCAGCCATGAAGCTCTAGAAATTGGTAAACCTTGAGGAATAATATCAAGAGTATCAGAACTGTTGTGTTGTCAATCTAGAAGCATTTTATTACTACAAAATGTTGCATCTTTTTCTTGTTTGTTATCTTCAGAGAATGTATTTCCTGGAAGTTTGTGAAACAACTTATTGTTTTCACCTCTTCTAAAATATTCAGCTGACGATTCAGATAATGGGAAAGGAAGCCTTTAAGGGAAGCTTAAAATTCAACATCTTGTAGGATATACTTGTTCAGTCTTGTAACGCTGATAAGCAGAAGGAATTAACTATATAGTGCTGACATCGTGAGGACACTTCCTTTTGTCATGTAGCAGACCAGTCCTTGGTCAGCATCCTTCACAAGAGCAGATAATGTAATTTGGAGACAACAGGAATGGTGAACTTTTTCACCAGAGGAAGTTAAAGTTATCACTTAATTAACAGACACAAACCAACTGAAATTGTTTTAAAAGGTGGATAAAGAAAAGGAAATATTCAATATGAGCTTTATGCGTTCAAATTCCTACGTGGAGTACGAACCCACAACCTTCTGACTCAGAGGCGAGATTAATATCAACTGAGTCAGGCTGATATCTAATCGTTTGCATCATACATAAAAATAAATGTGAATGCTATCTATAGTGAGATAATTTATTTAATACCATCTGAAATGTAAATACTAAAGTGGACACTACTGACAAGAAAACAGTTCTATGTAGATACCCACTGAAGCTCAAAATATACCCTTTAAAGCCTGTCAATAAATACTATTCCAGAACTAAGCATGGAATGAATAAAATCTTCTCCAAATTGGGAAAGGCATTTCACATCAAGACACAAGATAAAGCATCTGTGTCAGAACTGCCAACTCGACAGCAATGAGAAAAGCTTTGTAAGCTTGTAGGCTGATTTGAGTATTTTGCATTGTGTTTTCCTTTGCAAAGAAAACCAAATTTGCCCATAAAGGAACAGAATGTCAAACAGGAACATTGAAAATAAATGATGGGTTCCATGGGCCGAGTGACCACCTATTATTATTTCTGTTATTCCCTGTTTCTTTCCTGTTATTTTATGAATCTAAGATTTAGTTTTATTTAGAGATTTTATTTAATTTCACAATAATTCCAAAACATTTCTGATGGGATTCTTGTTACACTACCACAACATGCCTGACCTTACATTAACCTCCAAAGAGCCTTGGCTTTGCTGATGGTATGGAACTCTCTTGTTTGACACTATCCATGAACCGCAAGAGCTGCTCAGCCATGTGGATATGTCTGTGGTGATAATTCTCTTTTATATGAATCATAAATGAGCCAATATATATCCCGAAGAGCACATCATTCAATTGCACTCACCACTGAAGAATGCACTACAGAATTATGGGAAGACTACTGTTATATGTGGATAATGGTTTGATTCAAGGCCTTCAAAAAGTCAGAAAAATATTTGTTTCTGAGATAATATACAGATGATCTGGAACTCTGCTGTAGCAAGGAACCAAGATCAGCCCAAGATCAAGTTCTTTTGCACAACTGACATTCTCCTCCATTCACATGATTCTTGGATAATAATGAACTGGGATAAAATAAAACTTGGATGGTTGTCACGCTCCTTAGGAAATTGCTAATGTTTTGTTTGTATCTAAGATGTCAAGTGGAAGACGACATAGCAATATTCCCCTGTTTCGTGGAACTTCAAGTACAAAAGATGTTTTTGATTTGTAAGAAATTGCTACCACAGTCAAAAGCAGCCGTGCGATGATTTGGCACAATGGACTCTTTTGAATGGAAAGTACAGGAGCAGGGATCTGTCTGATGCAGTTATATCAAGAGCTGTAAAATCAAGTAAGCAGGTGTAATACACCGTAGTTAAAGCATTTGGATAGGTTGTTATTATTTTTATTGTTGACGTTACTACTTATTCTCTTTTAGAATAGACATAATCAGCAACAATAATAACATGCATTGACAAAACACCTTACATGTATGATAAACACCTCTACATTGTTTACAAATACTGCAATATTGCTGAGAAATCAAATTGAATGTTGTGGTTTGGGCAGCCAGCAACATCCTATAAACAAGACATCACTGGTCCATTCATTCAAGGGTAACTCTCTGGATGAGGAGAGGTCCGTAATCCAGGAATAATAAGGGGAAATGAATAAGCGAATGTTTTGACAATTTAACAGGACATTCTTCCCCCTTCGACCGATCTCCGCACATTGACATTTGGGTTCTCAAGCTGGAATTACTTAGTAAACTACATCAAAAGCGTCTTTGGGGATCGCGCTCGCCTGGGACAGGAGTTAATTTAATTATGCTAATTCGCATTTCACCCATTGTTCGCCCTACAAAATACGCTGTGTGTGCTTTGATACTTCCTCCTGACATCAAGTTATATTTCGCCATCATTGACGAATCCAACAGCTAAATTTGGTCATTGACTTCAGGCCTGTCTGTGGGATATGGCAGTGCGCAGATGCGCTGCCCGCGCTCACCTATTGGAAGACTTTTCAGGGTAAGAGTTGTGCATAATTATAATAATAATAATAATAATCCTTGCGTTTGATATAGCGCCTTATCCCGTCATGATTTCTAACACCATTGATATGTTTGTATAAGTGTCCCGGGATATTATTCTGTGGGGATGTTATATTCCCTGCTGATGGTGATGGTAACCTGTCAACTTACCCCCTCCCCCACCCCAGCACCCTACTGCTTGGTATTTTTTTGTTGGCCAAACAGAAAATGTTTATGGCACCTCCCCTTTAATTAAGCCGGCAGACAGTCGGCCACTTCCTTCGCCTCCATTTTTTCCAGCAGCGGCAGCGGCTCAGCCTCAGCCTCGGACATGCGCACTGTGCCGCCCCATCACCCCCCCCCCCCCACCCCCCCGCAGGCGCGTGGCTGCCGTTGGCGCTGAGGCCGTTAATACCGTTTCTGCTCCGAGGAGGCGGTGCGAGGGCAGCCTGAGAGAGGACGAGGGAGGGTCCTGGCTCTGAGGCCCTCACACAGTGTGTGTGTGACAGAGAGAGAGAGGGAGAGTGATACGGCCACAGAGGGAGAGAGAGGGATACGGCCACAGAGAGGGAGAGAGAGTGATACGGCCACAGAGAGGGAGAGAGAGGGATACGGCCACAGAGAGGGAGAGAGAGGGATACGGCCACAGAGAGGGAGAGAGAGGGATACGGCCACAGAGAGGGATACAGCCACAGAGAGGGATACAGCCACAGAGAGGGAGAGAGAGTGACACAGAGAGGGAGAGAGAGTGATACAGCCACAGAGAGGGAGAGAGAGAGAGTGATACAGCCACAGAGAGGGAGAGAGAGAGAGAGTGATACAACCACAGAGAGAGATACAGACAGAGAGAGAGAGAGAGAGAGAGGGAGACAGAGATACAGCCAGAGAGAGAGAGAGAGGGAGAGAGTGATACAGCCAGAGAAAGAGGGAGAGAGTGATACAGCCAGAAGGAAGGAGAGAGGGGAAGAGAGAGTGAGACAACCAGAGGGAGAGACAACCTAAAATACAGCCTGTGAGACAGATGCAGCTGGAGAGAGACAGTGAGATACAGCCAGAGTGTGCCAGTGTGTGATACAACCAGAAAAGGAGAGAATTGTTTGTCTGAAAGTGTGAGATACAACCAGAGAGAGTGAGAGCATATGTGTGTGAGATACAAAGAATGAGTGTTACATATATAAGTTACATATATATGTGAGAGAGAGATGCTGTGGAGCAACTGAAATACAGTGTGAGAGAGGAACTGAGAGACAGAGGTTGAAATATCGTGTGTGAGGGAGACTGGGATACACAGTTAGACTCTGGACAGGGGACAGGAACTAAGGAAGACACATTAAGCCTAAAGCTGTGAAACGGCACCATGAAAGTAGTTGCTTTGATCAGGTAACTGAAGCAGCAACTCCAGTTGCCTCTGTTGCTGCGAAGTTATGTTGACTGGCTCAGCTTTTGGGCTCTGAAAAGTTTGTTTTGGGAAAGAACAAGATTGAGGCTCATAACACATCTACAAATGATTTAAAATGTTCTAATGTAGAAAAAGTTTTTAATTTTTTTTCAAGATTTTAAATTTCAGATCCAAACATGGTGTGAAATCTACTCAGAAGATGAATAATAATGGGTTTTGTTTGATAAGAGTGATACACATTTGTGATTAATGTTATGGCATTAAATATCAGTTGAATACAGTATATTGCTTTAATCCAAATCCTACTAAATAAACTGAAACTGAAACCTGGGGAGGACAACAATTTTTGTTTTGTCAGCCGGGTGTTTGAGAACAAATGCTTGCTCTTTATGAAGGAAAACAATGTAAAGTACATTTTATAGTGTATGGAATGCATCACAGTAATGGTACCTTATCCTTAAATTAATCCTAACAGTATTTACATTTGAAAAAAATCTTTAAAATCCTGCATTAGCTTTTGCCTTGAGTTAGTAAAAGAGATTGAACACAAACGGTAAAGAAACTGCATGCTTAATGCTAACTCATTTTTATATTAAAAACTCATTTTGCAAACTCATTTTTATGTTAGAAACAGAAAGGAGGAGGCCTTTCAAACCATTGAACTTGTTTCACTATTATTTGGATATTATGGCATGTAAGGAGTTTTAGGGACTGTGCTAAATACATTTCCACCCATAATTGTGTTTGTTTTACACTGAACAAAAATGTGCTTGTGTAACCTTTTTGTTCACGTGCAATACAAGTGTAATAAAGAATTAAAAAGTACACTGGCACCAATATTGATCATCCACGTTAATATGAATTGAAATAATTGCCGAATTTACCTCTACAATTAACAGGATCAAATGCATATTTGACCAAATGTCTGTATATTTGAAACGTAAAAGGCACTAATTCCATAAATTGTGGAGAATTGCATATCACAGCCCTTTTTTGTCATTATATGTGAATATGTAATAGTCATAATGACGGAATTGCTGTTAATCTGTTTTAGTCCAGTGGAAAAATATTGATTTTAATTTCTCTTTTAGTGGTGGGAAGGACAGTTGTTACAATATGATGCAGTGTGTGGCAGCTGGGCACGAGGTTGTGGCATTGGCTAATTTAAAACCTGTTGATCATAAAGGTAAGTTTCTTCTGTTACTGTCAGCCATTTAAATTGCAACAGCCGAAGTGTCGATCCCAAGTGTTTCAGTGAGACTGTGTTCAGATGTGGTAAAAGTGTCTTTGGGCTTTTTCATATCCTCAAGTGAAGATAAGTCCTTAGTTAATATTGCCACACACAATATGTGACTGAATAGTTCTCCATTCATTAAAATTATTATGTATGTGAGAAAAAGGTTTTCTGTGACCTATGTGTGAGATCCAAGATCAAGTTGGGAGGTAGATTTGTGATAAAAAGGGAAAATGCCTGCAAGATGATGGGACGGGCAGGGGTAGGATTCTCATGCATCCTGGACTTTCATTTTGCATGTTGATGCAGAGTCACAAGATCACAGCCCGAAAACAGGTATGTTTTTCAGCTGAAGCCACACATGTGACATGGATTAGGTATCAGCCTGGCTCAATTGATAGCACACTTACCTCTTGAGTCAGATGGTTGTGGGTTCGTGCCCTACGTCTGGACTTTGAACTTGCTGACACTGATAGGCTGACTGTCTAATACAATGCTGATGGAGTGCTGCATTGTTGAGGTGTTGTCGTTTGGATGTGTCCTGTTTGCCTGTTCAGGTGGGCATTAAAACTCCCAGGGCATTATTTGGAAATAGGAGAGAATGTATCCCAGTGTCTTGGCCAGCAATCTCCCAGATTAATTGGGCATTCGCATCATGGCTGTTTATGGGACATTGCTATACACAATTTTTGGGCTGTTGCATTTGCCTACAAAATCCTACAATCATTACACTTTACAGTAAATCCTATGAAACACTTTGAGGCATCCTTCCGATGTGAAAGGCACTATATGAAATGCAAGGATTTGCATTATTAAGCAATTGTTATTTCAGCAAACCTGGTTGTTGGACTTTAATCCCACAAATGTCAAAGAACACTGTCTCTCCTCTATGGTAAAAGCATCCTACTCAAAGATTAAACAGGTTTTAAAGAAAACCATATTAAAGTTATTGTGTCCACTTTCCTCCCACTTTCCTTTCATTTGGAGTCCTGTAGCTCAGTGGTTAGAGCACTCGCTTTGCAAGCGAGAGACCTGAGTTCAATTCCAGGCAGGGCGAAACCTTGGGCAAGTTTCCTTACTCCACACGCCTAATAATAATCCCTCCAAAAAACAAAACAATAATAAATTGGTCATTTTCAATCTACGACTGTTTGTGGGACATTGCTGTGCGCAATTGGCTGCCTCGTTCGCCCACAAATATACAGTCAATTCACTTTACAGTGTGTTCTGTGAAGCGCTTTGGGACGTCCTCCCGACGTGAAAAGCGCTATATCAAATGCAAGGATTATTATTATTTATCCTTACCTCTGACTCAGAATGCAAGGACGTTGAATGGATTGTTGGCTCGGGAGAAACTTGGTTCTCTTTCCGAATAGTCTCGAGGGATCTTTAAAGACTTTATATGTACTGGTGAATTAAAAAACAATCGCTTTGTGTTTCTAACGGGACTTTCCATCCTCTCTCTGCTGCCAGCATTAGATTGCATTTCCAAAAACTTACAGTGGTTGTTTTAATATTTTAATACACTGCCTAGTGCCAGTACTGTAAAATGCATGAAGTAGGTGCAGTGCTGAGTACTTGCTCATTGTAAAATGGTATGGTTGTAACATTTCTTGTAATACATCTGCAGCCAGGAACTGGAGTTTTTACTCACAATTATTGTTGGAGTAAACAGCTGCACCTTTTATACTGGAGAACATTACGAACATATCAATGCTACCTTAGAGAACAAAAATCACCAGAATTCAATTCATCACATGCATGAGCCAAAATCACTCCCAAATACTATCAAAGTAAAGCATAGACAATGATCATCTGGTCAAGAAGCCAACAACATGTTTTCATCTGAAACAAGCAAAGAATTGGACCATAATCGTTAAATTCAAGATTCTGAATGCCTGTAACGGAGAAGTGCCTCTGCATGAGATCAATTATAAGAGATATATTATTTACTTCTTATTAAAATGGGCCTTGGTAAAATATCTTTTTCATTCCAGGGAGTCACTGAATGGAATAGAATCTCCCTGTGGTTAATGCAATTGGGACAGAATTTGCCAATTTGGGAGACAATGGGATATCTACTGAGGAAACAAATCTGGAATCATTAATAAAATGAAGTGCAGTCATTTTTCAAAGAAGGGTGTTCAAACTATACTTTAAGGTCCCTATGGTAGAAAGACAAAGTATTTCTTAAGGACAGTCTCAACAGTTCTGTTAAAAAAAAGTTTAAATAGATCAATCTCATCATTGTTTTTTTCTCTCCCTTGTTTGATTATATTTGTTTAAATGATGAGATACAATGACATCATTGTGAATCTGGTTTGGAAGAGTTACTGATCCAGAGAATGTTACGAAGCTGAATTAGATTAACAAGATAAAATCATTAACACAGGGTGCTTCAGGGTTCTTGCCATTTCAACTGTGTAGGTTAATTCAGTTCCCTCACAGTCTGCATGAGTAACTATTTTATGATGATTATGGCATTCACAATATAAACAGAAATATGCATTTAAAAACATTTAAGAAGTTAAATTTAACAGTTTTGGGGACTGGGTGGTAGAGTTGATTGCACACTATTCTGTCACTTCAAGTACCTAGGTTCTAATCCAAAAATAATTATAATTCTGACCTCACCCATCTTCTGCTCCACTTTACTGCATCCCTCTGCCTCCTGAACAAGCTTTTTATTTGTTACTCATAATGTATGTCATAACATTTTGATGAACTGCAGGTCAATAAACAGGGCAGAAAGCCAGCCTGCTTTCTGCCTGCCATCACAGTGAATGCAGAAGTGCTGACTGGTGATTGTGCCCTATTATAGTTTAAACTTTTATGGACACTCCCCCCAAACACCCAATTAGCATGTTACTTTGAGGGTCTGTTATCCTACCTTGTCTCATGATGTAGCACTCTCAACTCTAGGTCTGGAGGCTGTGGTTTCTAGCCTGGGTTGAGATTTGAGCTCATAGTTTAGACTGGACATTGCAGTGCATTGTTTGAGGAGTGCTATATTGTTGCATGAGATGTTAAACTGAGGTCCCATCTATCTGGTCAAGTGGATGTTCTTGATGTTCCCACAATACTGTTCAAAAAGAGAAGGGACATTCTGCTGGTGCCCAGGCCAACAATCAGCAGGAATAATTTGCTGTCTTGCTTGCCAACCGAAAAGCCAGATTACATCAATTTTATGTGAAGTGCTTTTGACATGATAAGGCAGTGTAAAAGTTTATTCTTTCATGGCATTGATAATAATAAGCCTTGCATTTGATATAGTGCCTTATCACGTCTTCAAGACGTCTCAAAGCGCTTTACAGAATATACTGTAAAGTGAATTGACTGTATATTTTGCAGGCAAAATTGTATTGATTATTAAAGTCAATAACATTCAATGTCTTCGTCCATTTTAAGTTGTGGCCTTGTCTGGCTGTTTATTCCCGCAGATGAGCTTGACAGTTACATGTACCAGACGGTGGGTCACCAGACGATAGACCTGTACTCTGAAGCTATCGGCCTCCCACTATACCGTCACACAATCCAGGGTAGCAGCCTAGCAATTGGAAGAGAATATACCAAATGTGAAGGAGATGAAGTGGAAGATCTCTACTATTTACTGAAGCAAGTTAAGGTATAGATGGGGCATTTTAAACAGTTTTGTGACTTATTTTTCTAAGATTTTGAACAGTGATAAATAGATACAAGACCAAATCAACTATAGTTTTTATGAACTGTATAATACTGTGGAGCTCTGTAGCTATGGTTTTTATACACTTTAGTTTCTGGAGGCCTGTAGATGGTTTGTTTTTCCCGTGAGGAGCAAATGGAGGGGGGGGGGGAGTCTGTAAGGAATGAAGATATGAGGGGTGGGGGGGGTCAAAACGGAGAGAGAGACACAGAATGCCCTGTCTGGGAATTGTCTTCACCAGGGATAAAGTTAGCTGGAAATAATCAGGACGTTTGCTCAGCTACTTCTGGCCAGGAAGTAAAATGTAACCTTTGATGTTTAAAATCGAATAGATTATTCATTCTGGGGAGGTAAAGAAGTCTGGGGTTACACCAATAACCTCACCTTAGCCTCACATTTCTATCAGTTACTTACGTGTTTGCTAATATTGAAATTCACCATTTTTTTTCTTAAAATATGTGGTGCTTTGCTTCCCATTGTTTTTAATCACCTGGAATTCTGAAAATGATGGGGAAGTCTTTTGGAGATAAAGTGATCATTCAACATTCAGTTTAAACCACAAATGTGGCATAAGGATAACGATAACTTGCATTTATATAGTGCCCTTTAAACAATATTTGGCATGTGAATAAATAAATGCTTATTTGTGTTGCATCCAAGCTCAACCGACTTCCACTCTCCAGACACTATTTATTTAGAGAATGTACATACTGTTGTTGGTGTTACTTTTGTCATCATTAATGTCATTTTGTTTTCCAACACTCTGTGTTTTTAAAAGGATAAAGTAGAAGATGAAAAGGCCATTTAGCCAATCAAATCTGTTTCTTCCATAGGAATGTGTATACTATATATCCTCATAGATTCTATGCTGCATATTTAATCTGTTGAGAAAATGCTGCTGAATTTCTCCCTGTACCCCAAGGTAATTGAACAAAACTGCAGAATATCTGTCTGTCTCCACTATTCATCTCTGGCCAGCTGTCTTCCAGAGATGACATTTCTTTAGTCAGAGCAACACAAGAACCATTGTAGTCCATAGAGTATTTGATTTATCTCTCCTCCCCTTAACCTTCAATCCCATTGCTATCCAGATATCTATCAACTTCTCTTTTTTTCCCAGAGAAGTTAATCAACATGGCATTAACTGCTTTTTCGTTTCACAATTGGGGACCTGAATAGACATTCATGTGGTCTTAACTCATTGTGTATCATCATAATTCTTAAAGTTAGTTATGACTAAAACTATAATTTAAAAAGTTCATTATAACTTATTAAGAATTGTGATGATATACAAGACCATGGAATGTCTATGCTGCTCCCCAATTCTGAAAGGAAAAAGTAATTCATGCCATCCTTCTCTTAAAAAAAAGTTAGTGATAAATTTTAATAAAACAAATCATGAATGATTTACAGTTGCCAAGCAGTTGATACCTCTTATCAAAGAAAAGAATAATTGTTTGGCACTCTAAATACATGGATTAATATGAAAGCAAAGACATATGTGACAGTATTATTGTGAGGAAATATATGTTATAGCCACACTACCGCCACGAACTACACAGTATCACCGGTATTTGGATTACCGAAATAATATGGTTCTTGTCAATATAATATATTCTTATAAATGCTGTGTTTCAATTCAGCAGATCAATACGACACACAAATCCTATCACGTTCAAATGCAACAAAAGCCCTTTGTACATCCTGCTGAAATTTAATAATTTAAGGACTAAGATGGAATATTAAATTCAGTCAGATTAATTGCAAGGAGCCACTCCTAGCTCCAAACCACCTACTGTAAATCTCTTTGGGTTGTGTGAAACACATTGTTAATGGTTGTGATTTTACAGAATAAAACTGTCCATAATTTGAAACTCACTTTGGATGGGAATAGAAGTGTGGGAAATGGAAGGCTCACACCACTGTGTGAAGGCTTGCTGCTGGGACAGTGTGGAGGGATCTTTACACTGCATTTAATTGTGCTATTCCTAACCTCAGAATGCTTCTAGCAGAAGTTAGGTGTTTTATTCCCCGCAACTACAGTACAGTAATATCTGTCCTCTCAACAAATACAAATTTGACACATCTCAAAACACTGCACAAGTAATTGCTGTCAAGTGTAGTAATTATTTTTGTAAGTAACTACTGCAGCTATTTTGTACATAGCAAGTTTGCACAACCAGCCATGGCCAATTTATCTAGATGATTGTTGGTCAGGTAATGGGAAAAATCCCTTGTTTTTTAGGGTTCCTTGATATCCATGAAAACAGGCATTTGGACTTCTGTTCAAAGTTCTGTTTTAAGGAAGCCACCTCCAACACCTCACCCAGACGTTTGTTCAATTAAGGTTTTTGTGTTGCTAATCTCTCAGGATCTTTGGTCAACTGGCATCATGTAGCTGTTGTGTATTTTTTCTATCTGAAGTACAAATACAGCAATTGTCCAGCACAAATTCCCTGCTCTTAGTTTATTTTTTTTAATTTACAGAAAATGTGAGATTGTTGTTGATTTCATATGAGCCAATTTACTCCTACGCATAAATGGAAATATGTTTGTGGAAAGTGGAATGAATGTATGTATGGTGCTTTTAAGTTACGTGATACAGCTGTGAGTAAAGTGCATTCTATCCATTGTCTTATTCAGCAACAGCAGTCTTCTTTTTTGAAACCTGCCTTTCTTTTGCACTTTATCATGCTGTGCGACTTTAAAAATGGCAAATAATTAATCGGCGGAATATTTAAAATTCTCTTTTAAATCGCAATCAATTAAAGCTGGAAGAATTATTAATCTGTTAGTTTTCTGTATAATTACAGTCAACTGGGAAAAGGTTAATTAGAGCTGTAAATTTTCAGCTATTCAGGCCAGGAAATAGCTTGATCCTTTAATTTTTTAATTAATCATTTAGCGGGCAGTTATGTATGCAGTTTCCAAGAAATGCCTTGCAGTTTCTGCTATTACTGCAAGGTCTATACGAGAGATTCATCCATGGCAGGTAGAAGGTTAACTTTTTCCCTTTGGTGGAAATCTGGGGAAAGACCGTTTCTCATACATACGTGCATACGTACATACTTACACTATCCATTTCTCTCTACAATGCTGAATAAACGTCTAGAAGGCAATGAAGGTACTTGTGTTAGGTACTGGTAGCGCTCAATTAGATGGACTCTCTCCATTTGTTTCGGAAATATTTTGCCCAGGGGTCTGTGTCTTCCCCACCCACTTCCCAAAGCTAGAGGTTCATATTGATGCACAATTCCCTGGTTGTTGGGATTCCTGATGTTTGAATCTGGACAGTGATTCTTTGCCAACTATTCAACATGGAGGCTATTGCAGATAAGTCTAATCCTGCCCTTGCCTGATAGCCACACAGCATTGGTCACTGGATAGTGATCAAACCCTGTGTTGAGCAAGATAGGTTAACATTGTGTGCATGACCCTTGCTACGTTTGAAATGTTAAGCTGCCTTTCTTTCAGATGTAGATTGAGTGCTAAGTATTAAAGGTATTTTCTGTTTTTATCTCTTGCAATGCAATCTATGTATGCACTGCTAATATCAAGCTTGCAAGTTTAGCAAATGCTGACATACTTACCCACTGTAAAAATAATGCCACAATGTACTGCTGGAAAGAAGGTACAATATTGAATTTCACTTATTCATATGGGGAGGAAGAAAAGACTGGCATAGCCAATTGTCATTATTTTTATTCTATTTTTCAAATAAAAGACCCTGTTTCTTGCATGCCGGCAAGATGGAAGCCATGCTCTTTGGCTCTCGTCAACGTCTTCTCTCCTGTGGGTCTGAACTCCTCAACCTCCCCAGGCTCTCCCTCAGACTCATCGAACCCGTGCACAATTTAGGCGTCAGGTTCAACCCTAGCTGGATTGCATGTTTTATTAGTTGATTAGCAATGTAAAAGATGTGGAATTTAGGTGTCAGCACTCTCACATCTGAGTTCAGGCACCAAATTGAGAGTGTGAGCTGATGCTACAGTGCAGTGTAGGTGGGAATGCTGCATTGTTGGAGAAGCTGTCCTGTGGATGAGATTTTCAACCAAGTTCCCCTGGCATCATTTGAAAAGAGAATGGAATTTCTACCAGTGTCCTGGCCGACAATCCTCCTGTTTTTTTTTTAAAAAATCATTTATTTCATGGCTTTGTGGCACACTCCTGTGTGTAAATTAGGTGCCGTGTTTGTCTATAAATGGGCAGACGCTCCACTTCACAGTAAGCCATGTGAAGTGTTTAGAGACATTTCAATGTGATAAGGCACTCTATCAAATTCAAGAATTATTAATAGTAATTCCTTTTATTAATAATAGTTCATTAAAATGTACTATCAGGTGATATGACATCTCATGCCCAAAGAAGACTCTTAAGTCCTGTTATGAGTGATATACTTTCATATGCTTTTGTTTTCAGATTTTCTTTTTCATTTTGCATTTTATTATTGATGGTGTGTGTGTGTGTGTGTGGTTAATGAGGGATTGTATGTATGTCTTTCCCCTTTTTAGGCCCATCAATATGACACACACTACTCTCTGTTAAGAGAGCAGGTATTCAGCCTGCTCCTTGGCATCAGCCAATAGCAGACTCGACCCGCATGCTAGGTGATGCACGAAAAGCAGCTCAGGTTGGTCATTGACTTTGCCTCCTGTGCTGTGGGTTTCCCCTCATAGCTGTTCCCTGTAGGCAAGCTGAAATCAGCTGGGAAATTTGGGGTGAGAATCTGTATTCTGTCTATCATTAGTTATTGTCTCAGGAGTCTTTTATAGTGGGGGGCTGTGTGGGGGCAGAGGAGAAGAAGTGAGACTACAAACTAACAATACCGTGGTTACAGACCATGTAGAAAACCCATAGTTTGGATCTGTCTCCCAACTGAACAAGGTCATGCAAAAGGCTACAAAACGACAACACACATGAGAAAATAGATATTTTGGTGGTAT